CGTCACGGCCTGAGTCACGGCCGCCTCCTGTCCATATATGGTGTGATGGCCGCCGTGATGGCGGCGGCCCGCGGCCCCGAGACGCTGTCTGCTCCAGAGACGCCGTCTGCCTCCAAAGACGCGGCCGTCTGCTCCAGAGAGACGCGGCCGTCTGCTCCAGAGAGACGCCGGCTGCTCCAGAGAGACGCGGCAAAGAAGCGGTCTGTCCTAGAGAGACGCCGTCTATCTCAGAGAGACGCGACCCCCCCCCACCACCACCGAGACGCCGTTGGCCCCAGAGAGACGCCGCCGCCGCTGCACCCTGTACCGTCAACACGTGCAGAACTGCAGAGGTCATCTAGCGGAGCTTGGAGCTAAATAAGCATCACATAGTGACGAGTCACGTGATCCTGTCATGCCATTGACTGGACTCCAAAGGAGATTGACCCGAGGGTTGACAATATACACCAGCTAGCTCACCGTGTTTTGTGCATTTATACAGCGTTAACAAATCCTACCAGTAAATTTAGAACAACACTGAACGTTTATCAAAGCACTCTGAAGAAAATTGTTTGGCGGGAGGGGAGGATCCGTATGTAAGTACCTATCTTGCTGATATGGGACACATTTAAACCATTATAAGACCTTCTAACACCGGAGTTGGTCACTATACTGAGAAGAGAAGCACCGTCGGAAGGACGAGCGAGCTCTTCGGAATGAGATGTTTCTTCGATCGGCATGAGGCTCTAACGATCACTGTGGGGCTCCTCAACGTCCACGTGGCTTATAGCAGAACTATGTAAAGCCATGACATTTTCCATGTTTAATGACATCGGCACTCGTGCTCAGTAACAGAAGTATTGCTTGTTATCTTCATGGACATCCATAAACAATTCCTTTCCGGCTGTTCTATGTAAATACCACCCAGCTTACCCATCAGAAGACAGCTTAGCTCTGCACTGTATTGCTTCCATACCTGCCCTTTAAACATGCATAGAAAATGTATAATCGCTCATTGTTTTCACGTATTTACGATCGTTGTGAGCATAAGCAGTCAACCAGATGTCGTCAGCAGTTGCATTGCACGCCAAATCAGTTTCCCAGTATTCCAAAGTCGCGCGCGTGCCCTTGAGAGCGTGTGCCCAAGTTTGTGTTTACAATGCCCTCCTGCGGTGGACCGCTCCCACATGATGCTATCGTCTGAAGAATGTCGACAGTCGGCGGCAGACGGACAATGCGGCGACAGCCATGTCTTTACAGAGAATCCTCACTGGCAGCTGCCATGAATCATACCGGATTGATTGGACTTCTGCCTCTAGTCAAGGGCCATCCACTGGCTGCTAAACTTTTGGGCGCGTTTTATGTGCTCAAGACACTTAAAAGGCTGCTTTCTTGGATTAAAATATAGGTATGTGAAATTGCTAGTTTGCCCCATCGTCAGCGCCAAATCCATCAGCACACACCGCAGCGTTTAATGGCGTGCAAGGCCCGAAACGAGATGACCTAAACCCCTATCTTCTCGTTTCATTCGCTGTTGCTCTTTATCACGTGGTACCGCGGCCCACACGGCCTGTATATTCCAGACAGCCTTGGGATCCTTTTTACATCCATAAAATAGATCACTGTGGTGAACTGCATATAGTGCATGGCTCCTACAGGCCATGTGAGGGCTGGACGCTGGTTCCGCGAATGAATTACAATCACGAGCTGCAGGGGAATATTGCAGCAAAATTTTGCGATCACCATAACATGATGGTCCTGGCTGCAAACAATCGAGTGCAGCAGCGTTGCACTCACATTGGTTGACCTGCAGCGGTTATTTACAACGTATTGTGGATGCAAAGGATAGGGTGTGTCTACTGTCATGCTTTTATGGAATGGAAGGGTGAACTCAATCATGCGGCTTTCATAGGGTTTCAACCAACCAGGTCGGTACTATGCCTGTCACTCTGTCAGGTATGAGGTATCTGAGGTATGTAAATAATTAAATATTTACATACCTCACTGAGGTATGTGTACATAAGATACTGGATATCTCATGTAAAATAAATAAATAATATTAAATCTAACATGCTGGCTTATATTTGGTTTTGAAATTCGAAATTCGAAAGCCTATGGGCCATGGGGAGGGGTAAGGAAGAGCCTTCCTGTAATTGGGCGCATCAGCCTGTTGGAAGGATGACGAAATAATAAAAAAAAATCCTTGGCATCTTTGTGGTACTTACCTACTTAGAATAATCTAATATCTTTCATGGCTCTAATTTTCTATACCTAACGTCTAAAATGACGTTCATGGCTCAAATTTTCGGTAGCTTCTAAATTGATAATGTTGACATAAATCTCAGTTTGTTTCGTGTATTTCGTGCGTACGATAACATCGTTTGTTGAATTCTTTGCTTGTAACGGGTACAAATATAAAGTCTTGTACCTATAACGTTTTAAAAGTTTTACCTAAACCGGTCGTAGAAACGTCAATCTTATTTTTGATAAGAACTGCCGTCTCGAGGTGATAACAAACTCTGGTGTCGAGTATGTCCCACCTCCGCATACCTCACCGATCTCCTAACTGTACGAACGACGACCTCTCCAGCCGTGACGTCATGCTGGGATGACGCCACACCCTCAGGGTAGCTGACGTCACCGGCTCCAGATAGCTCCAAGCCAAAGACGGAGAATCAGACTGCCCCAGGTGCGGACTTTCACTTCCTGGGTTGCCAGGTCGGCTTCCTCGGCCAGTTCTCTTCACAGAGATTTGGTGATAGGTGCCCCGGGGAGCAGCTGTAGTCGATTTCCTGACTGTTGTGCCCATTGCACACACCCTCGGGCACGTTTTCCTGTTGACACGCCGGCTGCGGCCGCCGAGAGGTGCAGATTGCAGGCTGCCGCCCCAGGGACGGCGGCCGTCACCGTTACTCCACCGTCACCCGGTGAAAAGAGTTCCCGGTGACCGTCAGTCGGCGGCTGCCGTGGGCGGCGACCGGCAGCTGTCACTGCTCGAAAAGGAGCTCCGCTCGTGCAGTCGCCGCCCCCGCCGCCGCCCCCGCCGCCGCCCACCGGCCTGCCGTCCGCCCGCCCCGGACAGATAGAGACCCGTCCGAAAACCGGCTCCGCGTGCCGGCTGGCCGCCCTGAGCTGGCCCGTTTGTGGCAGGCTCGAACGGTTGGCTGGTTGTATTGCTCCGTGAGCAATCAACGCGCAGTCCGGTGGAGTGAAGATACATCACTCATGAAGATACACCAATCGCAGCGCGATGAGTTCGCTGCCACAGAAGCCGACTTCTGTGTTTTGGAACAAGCGAGATGGATAAGAACAGGATTCAGCGTCGAGATTAATTGTTTGGAGGCGCTCGACGAGAAGAGAGACCTTGCTCTTTGCAGGCTGTTGCATTAAAACCGGTCGTTATCTAAACAGCATTTCTGAACGAGTAACGACAAAATGGGTTAATAAATGTCGCAGCGAAAAGCAAATCCATGTACCGAGAGGCAAACAGATGCGATGCGCTCCTGATTTATAACGTATAGTGATGTCAATCGGTTACCGAAAATTTCGGTTACCGAAAAGATATGCTGACCGATTCGGTAATCGGTCGGTCAGGCCCCCAAAAAATCGGACACTTTCGGTCAGATAAGACAGAGTGCCAGTTGAATGAATTTTCATTTCATTTTTGGGACGAAATTCAGGCTCAGAGCTACCTAATACCTGCCTTTTCAGCTGGATTTTCAGTGTCAAATTTTTCGTAGAGTATCTCAGACCACATCTCAAGACTCAAGGCCAGTTTCCAAGCAGTGTTGATGTGTTTTGTGGTGTTTTGATTATGCCTTTTCTCCTAGGGAATTCTGTCAAGAACATACCTATTACCAACCATTAGACTTACTAATTGATCGTGCTTTTGCAACATGAATGGCTTACATAGACCACGGTAGATTCTTGACAATTCTAATTAACCAAGTCTGTGAAATGCTGAGGTTCATGTGTTCCTACCCTAAGCAATGTAACTTCTACCACAAAATGTATTTTGCAGTGGGTAAGAATTGACTGAACTTGGACTGAAATGCCATTTCCCATTATTTTCCATCATAATTTACCAAATATTTTATTTTTGGGGTAGAGTAATAGCAAATAGAAGTTCGGTCAAATTTCGATCAAATTTTGGCTTGGGATGTTATCGGTCGGTATTCGGTCGGAAATTTTTCCCAAATTTTGGTTTCGGTCGGTATCGGTCAGACATTTTTGGGAAAATGACACCACTAAATTAACGTACAATTGGCTTTTGCGAAGGCAACGTTTTTCGTGAGCGATCGAAGTGATCATTTCCCCATATGTTTCCTCAGATGCCTAAATTCAAATGCTCCAGCTATACAGGGACTATACAGGGACTTCCTGAAGCACAGGCAGACTTCCATTAATGGTATCACCGCTGCCATCAATGACTCGGGGCCGCGGCGCGGGTGCTCCATCAGCCTCCGCCTGCCCTCGCCGTAATAAGGGAGCAGAGCCCCGGCCCCGTCATTTCCCCGGTGCCGGTCAGGTTTCCCGCCGTGTCGCCGCCTACACCCTGTGTCCGCCGGCGGCGGGCTGACCTCGGGTCGCAGCTGGCGGGTCTCCGGGCCAGCACCGCGCGCAGTCAGACCGTGCGCAGCGCAGCAATACCATCTACGGACGCAGATCGCACGGGGATCGGGGCGGGGCGCCGTCAGCTCGGGCGGCGTCCATAAACCGCCCCGCCCCCGCCCGCGCCCTCGCCCGAGCGGGACCGGCGGCCTTACCGGGGCTGTTCTGCCCGCGCGGGAGGGGTGGATGGAGAGGGGGGACTGGGGAGTGGTGAATAATCCTTACCAGGGTGGGATAGAGGTGGAGGAAGGGGAATACGTGTGGGAAGAGATGTGATGTGTGGATTTTAGGGATGATTCATGGAAGCTGTATGATTATTTTTGTGGATACCTATATGAAACGAGGAGACGATTTTTTATTGTATTTTACGTGATGGTGCTTAAAATGTAGGTACGAAACGACAGAAAAAATCATGACACCTTACATTTATTGATCACAATGCGAAATCAGGAGAACAATATAAATTATAAAATCCCAGGAAACAAATATAGACATGCTGTTGTCACGCGAAACACCGTCACATCCGCGCATGTGTATTCTAGTAAAATATTTGAACAATGAATACTTTTATTTCCACAGGTAACAGGAGAGGTAGGCGAAGACTTTACCTACGCTACCTACAGTGGCCTGCTCGGACCACTGAAATAGATCTATTTAAGCATGTTATCACAGTACACATAACACGTCAAATGGTATGTTCATTGCTCATTCAGCCCGACACAGTGACATCGCTGAGACACTATCGAGTTTTTACTTCACTCTAATGACATGTCGGACTTCACTGAGCAAAGGCGCCGCCCTGTCAGTGCGGCTGAACCAACTACCACTACCATCCGAGCTTGGTTAACACCATGTCATCAGCATGCTGCATGCCTGTCAATACACGCCGCGAAAATGGACTGCCACTGACACATCTAATGCACACATTGCACTCGGACCCAACTCCCATTGGTATGGAGCGCTGAAGAGTGCCAGTCATGGTTCGCCAAGTCATTGGTGCCCAGTCAAGAGCTTCGGTGGCATATAAACACTTGAACAGAGGTCACAGTGAAACCAGCTTAGCTCGGACGGTGACTACCGCTTGCAGCTTCATTAGCTGCCGAAACTATAGAAAATTAGGCATCACTCCGACATCAAAAGATTACTCTGTGATCCATTATTCAATAACCGGCAAGTTTACAGCGGATTAGCTCGAGTGTGGTTGTAGCTTCAGTCGCATTCACAATTGCATCGCAAGGAGATTTAGCTAATAACCAGCAGACACACTCGCAAGCAGGCAATGACGGCCAGCTGAGGAGTCGAGAGCATCCTTCAAACGCCAACTACGCCGAGAGATGGCAGCACCAGCACCTCAGTGGCTCAGCGAGGCAAGCACAGGTTTTACGCACTACCAGCAGATGGCAGTAAGCTCACCTGAGAAGACCTCACCTTGGGACCTCAACCTCTGTACCTGCCCAACAGATGGCAGCACAGTCGCCTACCTCCCTATCCTACCGGTAGATGTCAGGGCAGTCGCCGTCACGGAGAGCGGCACTCCCCCGTTTCAATGTCGACACACGGTGTGTTCAGTGTTGGCGGAGTGGGCGGGAGTGATGACGCCACTCTCTTCTGACAAGGCCGGCGCTCTCTGAGGCGGCACCGACAGCCGCCTCACCCCACACATCACCATATGGCCTCCGCGAGACGTCGACACGCGCCGCGAGCCAGCCCCGACCCGACCGGCGGCGACCGGGAGACCCGGCCGGTCAGATGCCGGGTCCATTCATACAGAACGAGCCACAAAGCGCCACTATCGACACTGTGAGGCAGTATTCTAATCGGTTTTCCGACCGTTACACCGGCGGCAGTTAGACGCTCCCTGAATACGAACCCACTACCATCCCATCTGCTGTCCCGTTTTCCCGGATTCTATCCGTCACTAGCACTCAGAGCGGGGCGGCTCTTCTGACCTGGCTCTCCAGGCAGGCCACAGTTCGCGTCTTCCCGTCCCGGAAGACGAGCAGAGCCAGCAGAGCACACTAGAGGCCACCAGAGGACACAACTGTCCGCCAGCTCACCACACCAGGGTACCGACCTGCAGTACACCGGTCAGAGCGCCACGTCTCGGTACCGGTACGAGTCAGACTCGGCTCCCAGCGAGCTCCTGCTCTCATGCTGCCGCCGCGGCTGGCCGGCTGCCATCCAGCAGTGACACGGCGTCACTCCGGGCACCAGCGAGCCGCCCAGGTTGAGCGCGTCCATCGAGGTACTCCTGCGCGGCCCGCGACCCATCTTCCGCCGGTCTAGCGACTGGGTACCGTGCCGCGGCACGTATACCAGGTGCGGGACCTGGCGGACGGACAGGGGAATTAGTATACATTCGGCGGGTGAAATATGTGCCTCGGGAGCTAATGAAATCAGCATGGAAATGAGACGACGGACGAGCATACATTACGAGGCAGCCACGGAAATAACTGCGGAGAAGCACTACTTTCGGTTATGAGAATGAAATATGACACGAAATAAATACAGCACAAACTGTTGCTAAGTACCTGTTCGATCAGTAATTTTCATAAAAAATGACTAGCTGTTTAGAAATAGTTTGCCTGACTGTCATAACTCCCTCTTCATTTGCGTTAGTGGATAGTCTGCCCCGAGGTCTCACCTCGTACGCGAAGGTGGGGAACTCGCCGACGCCGACACCTAGCGCACTCTGAGCCCGTACCACGGGCGCGCCGCCGCCCAGGCCGTAGAAGGCGGCGTTGAACTGACTGCGTCCCGAGCGTGCAGCCGCCGCCGCGTACTGAGACGCCGACGATACCGATCTGAGGGGTCAGTGGTCAGGTCAGGTCATCGACTGGGTGCAGCGGCCAGGTAATTATCGGAGAGATATCGCACCACGTTCTCACCTTTACATCTTGATAAAATCATTGAGCCTTATCAAACGGAGGTGAGTTCAGGTCAGCGCACAGCTCCCATTCCAGGACGTAAATCTGGTACCCAAAGCTACACCCCAAGTGGTAAGCAGCATCAAGAGATGAAAATATCATACATCAGCGACTGTGAATAGGAAGCAAGTGAAGCCATGTTCCAAAGCGACCGATCCGTACGGATGGCACTGACACATGGACGGAAATGAAATTCCTCCCCGCCGCCGCCAGTTGCACTGGTGCGAACAGCGAAATCCCAGAGAGTCGACCATGGATGTAAGCACCGTCATCATCTGAGAAACGCCTCCTAGCACACTCCCAGGCGGCGTCACTCTCAGTTGAACCCACTCTCAGCAGTCACTCTCTGTTGAACTCACTCTCAGGAGTCACTTTCGCTGTCAAAGAGCAGGAACCAAGCAAGGAGCCAATTGCTAAATGGTGAATAGTTAACTACCGTGCATTCCACACAATTCCTACAAATTTCATTCACCCTTCAAGAGCATAACACAAATTAAAACTGTAACTATACAAGCTGCTGTTCTTATTGCACGGTACTAGCAACATCGAATGCTATTTTTCGAAAACTACCTCTGACACCTCCTCTGACACCGATGACACCGTTCGCCCAGCTCATGTCTCACCTGACTAGTGCCGGTGCCGCCATCGGCACTCCGTTCGTATAGGTGATGGCCCCGCCGTGGAAGGCCCGGTCCACCGCGCCGTTCCGCAAAACGGACGGACCCACCTGGCGAGAGGGACGGCTGCGGTCACAAAACGCTGACGACCGAGGGGCGGTGGGCGCGACGCTCAATTGTACATATGTTGTAATGTAGCTAAATGCGTAATAACACGGTGACACAATGGCACGGTGCTTCAGGCTTTATGGTGCATGACGATGTATTGCATAGCAATGATAGGTAGGTGGGTGACAATTTTTCACGGCAGTTTTTCACGGTGTTCACGGCAGGTATTAAGTTGTTTCACAATTGTTTAACGACTTGTTTTGTGCTGTCAAATGATTCTGGAAAGGAAATTCAATCCCCTTTCATTTAGGACGTAGGTAAGAGTAGAGACTTACCTTCATGTTTAGCGACTCCAACCTATGTAACGAAAACTTTTCTTCCTTCCATGTAGCGTGTAATGACTGGATACATATTAGAGAAACCAGCTGCAAAAGGAAGATTAATTGGTACAATTCAACAAACGAGCAGCAATGTAATGCTATACAAGCGTAAGTAAATTGTCATGCATCGAAATGTGATCGGATTTTTAAACTGCTCATTACGTTAATGACAATGCATTAATGCCTGCGACAGCTGAAGCTATAATTACTCTATTCTATCCTTATGATTCTAAAAGCTATGCCATGCACTAATAAACATTAAGTCAAGGGAGTGAAATTCAATACAAGCCTAATAAAATCAGCAACAACAATTATGAAATTGTTCAATAAAAATTACGGAGCTCTACCTTTCCCTCACTTACATTTAATCCGGCTCTGCATATGTAGAATACAAGGTCACCAAGACCGTAGTCTGATTCAATGTTCTGAGGAAAGGAAGACAGCAAATGCCAAATACATACATTAGACATTTACACGAAAATACAAAAAAAAAAAATATGACGAAGGGCTTGAAGTTGCACGAGTCCATCGCATGCCACCTTATCCTCTTGGTAAATATTGGAATATCCCACCCAGAAAGTTTCATTATGAGCATCGAAGTATCGGTTGTTAGTTAAATGATGTAAATGATGCATTGTATTATCTAAGCCGGAAGCCACATCACCTCCTGCCCCCAGATACGTTCGTGTGCACTGATGCAGTCTCCTCCGGTGCCCTCTGTGTGGCGTTAAAGTCGCCCGTAACACCGACGATTATCTTACCCAATGATATATGCTCATAAAAAGCACCATGCCCATCTCAGGGAAGAAGAAGACAATCATGACCAGGAGCCAGGCGAGAAGGTACCTCGAGCGTTTCTGAAAAATGTTGATGCGTGAATCAAAGGTTACATCATACACTAAGCCATCGCACAAACATATTTGTGAAAAAAAAGATCGACGGGAATTTGCTGAATAATAATGCCATAACATTGTTAAAACGCTTCATTCTATTGAAAATTGAAGTCGATTTGGTTCCTTAATCACGGAAATGGTGAATGCTTTCCTCAGTTTCTTTTATTTCATGGACGATGAAAATACGTTATGAATTTTGAGTATAACCTTCTGATTTCAGCATTTGATTGGTTACATTTACCTTGCCGACGTGTAAATTTGAAAATTTTATTGAAAGTTTAATATGCGAAGCCGGAAGTTCCTACTAATCTTTGATATCACAATCCTGTGGTTTCATTTGCCCGATACGCACGGACCTCAGCTACGAAAATGAAATTTCTTTTTCGTGAAGGATTTTTCACTTTCAATACGTGATCCCGGTATGGCGGGAAAATTCAACCAATCATGAAGCAGTGTTTTCGCACGAGCCCGATTTCTTGGCTAATCATTTCGTCTGACATGAAATTTTCATTTTCGAAAGGTGTGTGCCCAAGAGAGGAGGCTCCGTAACGCGGCTTTTCCCTTTTTGGCACTCTCGCTCGATCGAACCGAACCGAACTCGAATCTTCCTCTAACTGCAGCCATGCGCGAGTGCATTTCTATTCACGTTGGCCAGGCTGGTGTCCAGATCGGTAACGCCTGCTGGGAGCTGTATTGTCTGGAACATGGAATCCAGCCCGATGGACAGATGCCTTCTGACAAGACTGTCGGTGGCGGAGATGACAGCTTCAACACTTTCTTCAGTGAAACGGGAGCTGGAAAGCACGTCCCAAGGGCAGTTTTCGTCGATTTGGAGCCCACTGTTGTCGATGAAGTTAGGTCCGGAACGTATAGGCAGCTGTTCCACCCGGAGCAGCTGATCACAGGCAAGGAAGACGCAGCAAATAACTATGCCCGTGGACATTACACCATTGGCAAGGAAATCGTCGATTTGGTGCTGGACCGCATCAGGAAGCTGGCCGACCAGTGCACTGGACTTCAGGGCTTCCTCATCTTCCACTGCTTCGGCGGCGGCACCGGCTCCGGCTTCACCTCGCTGCTGATGGAGCGTCTCAGCGTCGACTACGGCAAGAAGTCGAAGCTGGAGTTTGCTGTTTACCCGGCACCGCAGATTGCAACAGCCGTCGTCGAGCCCTACAACTCTATCCTCACCACCCACACGACTCTGGAGCACTCGGACTGCGCCTTCATGGTTGATAATGAAGCCATCTACGATATTTGCCGCCGGAATCTCGACATTGAGCGACCAACGTACACGAACCTCAACCGTTTGATTGGCCAGATCGTCTCATCCATTACTGCTTCACTGCGTTTCGATGGCGCGCTCAACGTGGACCTGACAGAATTCCAGACCAACCTGGTGCCGTACCCGCGCATCCATTTCCCCCTTGTCACCTATGCTCCGGTCATCTCGGCGGAGAAGGCCTACCACGAGCAGCTGTCAGTGGCTGAGATCACAAACGCCTGCTTCGAGCCGGCCAACCAGATGGTCAAGTGCGACCCGCGCCACGGCAAGTACATGGCCTGCTGCATGCTGTACCGCGGTGATGTCGTCCCCAAGGACGTCAACGCCGCCATCGCCACCATCAAGACCAAGAGGACCATCCAGTTCGTCGACTGGTGCCCGACCGGCTTCAAGGTCGGAATCAACTACCAGCCGCCGACCGTGGTGCCCGGCGGCGACCTGGCCAAGGTGCAGCGCGCCGTCTGCATGCTGTCCAACACCACCGCCATCGCCGAGGCCTGGGCCCGCCTGGACCACAAGTTCGACCTGATGTACGCCAAGCGCGCCTTCGTGCACTGGTACGTCGGCGAGGGCATGGAGGAGGGCGAGTTCTCCGAGGCTCGTGAAGACTTGGCTGCGTTAGAGAAAGATTTCGAAGAGGTCGGTATCGATTCGGTCGAAGGAGAGGGTGAAGAAAACGAAGACTATTAGGCCTCAAAATCCATCTGAAAGGCTTACCGAAAGTGTAAATGAGCCTCGCTCGCTCAAAAACATGAACGATCACTATCTGAAGGTCGAAGTTTTGAAAGAGTTTTTCTCCATTAGCCTCTTTATATCGCAGGAACTTTTTATATGTAAATGCATGCAGAAAGTTCTTACGATATACTGATTTTTGTAAAGAATGATTATTTGAAAACCTCAATCTTCATTAAAAACTTCCACATGTCTTAACCACTTGTTAGTGTCTCGTAATATCAATAAAAAATTGTCCGTCTATGTTGTTTCAATGGAATCTTCTGAAAAGAACGCTACATTGACTACTGAACACGTAACCACACATCTTTATTCGTTAACGTGAGCCCCTCGACAGCTTTATAATCAGTCACGCTGTGCTCTGGGAGGGGGAGGGGAGGGAGGATAAGCGGCGCTCGAAACATCGACAGAAAACCATTAATACCGCATCCATCAAATTTTCAGGTCAGGCTAAAGGTCAGGTCAGCATAGGTCAAGGGCGGGAAGGTGGTTTAACTATTTCGACTTTTAGCCCTCGCCGGACTTGTCGGATATCTACATATGATGATGATGATGATGGTTTAGAGGATTTGCCTTTGCAACGGCTCCTCCTATTCTTTTAAACTGTACTTAAACTATCGCGCTATGAGTTGGTACGGGGTGCATGATTAGTATATACGAGGAGGGCTGCATGACGCCCGGGAGGCCCTTGCCGTTTCGCCCAAATTAGCTAGAGCCTCACGAAAAAAAAAACCAAGGTGTGCGCCTACGAGATCAGCGACTGGTACCCGATTTAAAGGTTTCAGGTCATCCGGTGTACTCGGAGGTCAGGCCAAGTGTCCCAAGGTTCGGGCTCGGTTTTTGGTTGAAATAAATTCACCAAAAATAGCCGCAGAGCCGCAATTTTATGCACAATCGTGTTCTTCATGCTCAGGCGCGTCGAATGATATACTTTTGGGTGAGGCCAACTAAGGGTGTTGACCTCATGCTGAGGTCAGGTCAGAGCCTGTCATGTCACGAAGCTGGTCGAAAAAGATCATATGGCATGACACTCGATTTGACAGGTCTTCCTGAGCCTAATAATGGCCTTTCCGACTCGCTAGCTCTATTTGATCAGAACTTATTGACGAAAAACGTATATGACCTTAGCGACGTTATGCATGACGTCAGTCGTCCACGCGAGGTCAACTATGCAAAGATTAAACACCGGATGTTGCAAGGAGTGCATGAACTCACGATTCAATATGCTTTTTCTACCTTAGTTAGGAACCTCGCATTTTCTAAATTTATAGTGTTGAACAAAAATCATAAAAACAACGCAATAGCATTAAATAAATATTTTATGCGGCCATATCGATCACTTACCATCGCTATCCCAATGAGCATTATGAGGGATATCAGCAGCATGATGAGGTAGCCCGCACACAGAATGTAGGCTGGTGCTGGCATCGTCTCTGTAAAAAAAGACAGGGTGTCATGCCATTTTTTTCGTTGCTAGAAAGATACGTTTTTACGTTACAGTTTCTACATGGCTTCTAGCTAAATAACTGAACTGACGGGTTGAACTTCTTGGGTAAACAGTAGTAAAGAGCTAACGCGTCACGTCCGTAATACGCTGCCCAATCCCACCGCCATTGAATCGGTGCAGTTCTTCCTTCACCCTTGGGCCTACCTTTTGTGTCGACGATCCACCATAGCTGCACACCAAAAGCAATCAGGTACGCTATCTGCGGAACCAAAAATACACACGTCAGCCTCAACCATCTCCTATGCATCTGCAATCACAACATTTACAAGTGTTTCGATAATCTGCCAGCGTTGAGAATTGGCGACTCATCTTCGAATCATCTCTGAGACTGTGCATCATCTCCGATTATGTGAGTCGCAGCCTGCACTGGAGGTTAGAAGCGAACTCTGGATAGGTACTCTCCATAGATACTCCCCCGTCTTCCGGTGAAACGGTATCAGACGTGTCGCCGCCTGGTGCGTGAGTTTGTGTGTGTGGTGGATAGGACGTCGCGCTGTGGAACTTTGATACGCATCACTGCAGATGTGATCCAGCGAGGAGCCTGCCGGTATTCGGCGCCGGCCAGGCCGAGATGGGAGGTAACTGGAGCGTCAGAATTTATGGTGTGCTGAGATGTTAAGTGCTGTGGTAAGTGGTTGGTTAATGACGTCTAATGAACGCGGGATATCACGGACATTGCTGGTGAAACGGTAGATTATGTTGAAGTTACTTGAACATAACGCTGTGAGCAGAAATGTGTGAGCTTTATAGAGATTTTATGCTAATTTTAATTGAAAAGTGAGGTAAAAAATGATATTTTCCTCCACAGGAGATGCTAAAATTACACTCAAACAGAGCCAGTTGACCATTAATTACCGCGGCACTGTCATTAGCCGAGATACCGGTGGGCTGTTTAGGGCGGTTCTCATGTTTCCTGCCAGTCGTGGGCTGCTCTCTGGGCGCCACACCGTGACGAGTTTCCGCAGCACATGCCTCCCCGCTCGGTGAAGCCGGCTGGCCAGAGGAGAAACTGCCTGACATGTGACGGCTGCCACTATAACATCCTTCCCATGATCGCTAAACGGAGCCGGCCACGTCGTATAACACACAAGATCATCGGCAGACTAACTCGCCAGGAGGCAGCAATAACATTTCTGGAAACAGAGACACCGACCGTGGCGGCGCGTTAGCCTCTGACATCTTTCCACTAACCGTTTCCCACTAGACCGCACACGATCCCGTCCGACACTGACATCGGCCGGTCGACTTTCTATCTGACCCGCAACATCCGCCCGCAGCGGGGTCATACTTCCTGCCCCGGTACACCGACTCCATGAGCAGTGCTGCACGTGCAATGGAAACTCTCTACGGTCACGAGCGGAGCGAGGCGGCCCTCCCAACCGTCCGGGAATGCGCTTGGCCATCAGACGAAGCCGCCCGTCTCGTATCTGTGGTCACCCTCTCTGTGCGTCTGTCAGTCTGTTTGTCTGTCTGTCTGTCTGTCTGTCTGTCTGTCTGTCTGTCTGTCTGTCTGTCTGTCTGTCTGTCTGTCCCGGCGGTCTGTCCGACACATACCAGCGGCCACAGCGACTGGTAGACACCGGTCAGCGTCACCGCAGGCTCGCACGCTCTCTCCGCGCTCGGAAACAAACCTGTCACGGCCGACCGATCGATTTCTGGTGCGTCACCACTCGCCGTACCAGCCAGCACCACCAAAACACGGCATCCATCTTCCGCAGCTCCCACTGGCCGTGTGATTAAATCACGCCCCCTGATGTGAAGCGTTCGTCGGGAAATGCAGTCGTCTGTCCTCGCACCCACCTACATTTTTTAATTCAGCCGTCGGTAGGCCGATGAACGCCCTCAGCGCCGAGGCCCGGTACTTTCGAGCCGATGCGGGTCGATTAGAAGGCCGAGCGCCGACAGACAGAACCTGACCACGTGACGGTGACCTCCGTGACCCGGGCCGACCGGCGCTGACCCGGCCGACCCGCGCCACCCCTGGCCCACATTCTCCTCGGACGCGCGCCGCTTTCCGGCCAATTAGTATTACAAAGTAGGTGAGGAGATTCGATAGAGAGCCGGGGAGGCACGGACAATGGCTTCATTCTATGTCCGTTGTAGTGGGCCTACAGCCACATCGTAAAATAAATGGAGACACATCTCTTCTTTTCAGCTGCGCCGTAAAATCATGAAGTGTCGAAGGCACAAATGAAGTGTCGAAAATGGCCAGCATCAGCGCATTCATGTGTGAGCTGCCACGTTTATTTCATATCTGGTATGGCGAGCAACTTGAAAGTTGAAACCGACTTTTACCCTGGCATGAGTTATTTGCACTCCGTACTCGTGCCAATTCATAAGTGGCCATGCGTGTACCCAAGGTATCATGTGGTTTGATACCACCTGACCCCTGAACCTGCTTCAAGTAATCATACCAAATTGCTCCTGAAAGTGCCTCGCTGCACGCAACAAATAAATCAGTCAGGTGCCATGAAGGCAGCTTATAGTCTCGGCGAAACTACGTTACGATCTACGACGTCTGGAAGTTTTAAGCCGTTCTTCCTGCGCATAGCGTGTACTCACCGCGTCCAAAACGACGACATACGGGTAGGATCGGAACATGATTCCGGTGAGACCGGGCCAGCCGAGGATGGGGTACGACATGAGCGGGGTGGTGGGACTGCGCTGCGACAACCGGGAGAGCTGGGAGAGCTGAGAGAGCTGGGACAGCTGGGACAGCTGGGACGACGCCGCCGTCGGCCCACTCCACACCGACTTCCCGGGGGTGGCGGTCACTCGGAGACCGCTGACCGGCCAGCCGCCGGCCCGTGGTGGCGGGTCACTGGCCAGACCCATCGGAAGGCCGCAGGGGACTGATGGGTGGCGCCTTGGCGGGATCAGTGCTAGGGGTTAGAGCAATTGACGCTGGCGGACATGTGTTGTCCTGACTTTATGGACTAACTGCTCATCCTGATAGCCGTCTGGTTATCACCTCGAAACCTTTGAGCTCTCAGCTAATCACGTTTTTATCTCAATTGTCCAATGTTGATAGTCCACTGTTCACTTTTCACTGCTCACAGTTGTCTGTCCACTGTTGTCTGCTCACTGTTTACAGTTCAGAGTCCACAGTCTGTCTACCGTCCACTGTCCAAAATCGAGCATCCGTTTGTGGTCTAGTCCAGTTCAGCGTTCAAAGCGTCCATTCGTCCACGTCTATTGTCCACCACAAATTCGTCACCGACACGCAAGCTATCCCCAGTGTTGACCGCACCAACACAAAACAGCGTTCCTCAAAGCGCCACCGGCACTGTGTTCTCCAGCCTCGAGCCGTGGTATTTTCCACTAACGGACCGAGCCCGGCGTTCGTTTCGGCGCGGACGAGAAATGGGCCACGCTCAGAGAGCCGCCCTGACCAACCGGGAACGCTGCACCCACTGCACTGCTCGACTCCGACTCCGCCGCCCGCCGCCCACCACCCACCGCCCGGCGCCGCCCGCGCTGCTCCGCCCCGCCCTACTTTGGTCAGAGCCATGGCTCGTCGTCTTCACGCTCAGCAAGATAGAGGAAAGGAAGAGGAGAGAATGTGGATGCAATAAGTGAGTGAGCGAGTGAGTGAGTGAGTGAGTGACCGAACTTGGTGAACATGAATGTGCTTGTGTGCGTTACATTGTTGCAGATCCGTATTGCGCAAAAATACACGAGTTAGCATCTCGCATCTCTCGAAGTTTTAGAAATCTCACGCTGCACAGCTTGCTTTGATTCTGCCAAGCCCCTTTTCCATCAGCAAATCACTTCCGCTGTGGTTTGACATCAGACTGGACCGCTGTTTTTTTATCGTTCTGCACCGTCGGTGCCCACAAGTTTTCTGCGCATCATTGGTCGCTGACGTAAGTGTGCGAACGTTTGTTAGATTTAACAAAGCGACCTGGCCGGTCAGGATACAAAAATTCCGACCTCCTCACCGATAATCCTGTTTCATGCGCACAATGCCGGATATGGCTCCCACGTTTTCCGCGATGGTTGTAATTACACTAAAGGCCAATTTTTGGCGATAAAGAGTCCTGAAGCAGGGACTGTTTCCTTCTCTGCTATGACGCTTTCGGTCGTAAATGGCATTTTCTTCCCTGTTGTTGGTTGAGTGCTAATTGAAAACCATCGTGGGTAAAGCTGGCAAACGGCGTTTAAATGCCTTCAAAGACGATTTAATTTTCATCATCTCAATAGTCAATAATGATATTCATTATGTTAAGCAACTGGTGTGATTAGCGACCAAGCCTGCTGAAAGGGATATAAAAATAAAAACGGACGGCAAAAATGTTAGTTTGTACTCATTGGCCGTTTTCACGACGGAACTTTCGCAGAGGAACTTATTTGATACCTAAAAAGTACCTACCCTTAGAGGCCTTAACATCCCTCAAACTGAAATATTTTATGTTCAAAATAATTTTAGAAGTTTAAATCCGGGCATTTTTTGCCCTCAAATCACTTATTTATTTACAAACACAGCAATTTTTAGTTCTAGTAGCCCACCTTTCGACTATGAGGTATTAAATCAGCGTGGCAACTTGCTCCCTCTTTGCTCCCTCGGGTATCTAATTCCGGAATTCTTAAAAACAAGGAAAGTATATATCGAGTTCTCTTTTATACCTATTCAGTTATGTTTTAAGGGTGATAAAAATATGACAAATTTTTTAATTACATTTCATATAAGAAAACACGCAAAACAATGAAACAAAAATAACTACGGCAGATAATTACATTCAGGTATCTAATTCCGACCAATCAGCACCTCAGTAGGATATGACGTCATACAAGAATGGTGGTGATGGCCGTTTACAGTCCCGGCCGGTAGGTCACGTGACCGCCGGGCGCCTCGGGTCACGCGGCGGTCGGGAGTCGGACGCGGGGCGTGGTCGCGGGCGGACGCGCGGGGCATCATGCTTTGCTTTGCTTGCTTTGTCAACTTCATATAACTTACTATCGCATTCGTGTGAAAGCCAAACACTGCTCAGTGCCCTTAGAAATTGAGTTTTGGAAAGCTCAAGTCCCTATAGCTCCTCAGGTCGGCAACAGTTGAAGCCTCATCTGAACCCATGTGAAAAAAAGAGGGTAAGGAACCTTGTGTTGCTTTTTCTTTTACCGTCATAATTATCTCAAACCATCACAATTTTGAGTTGCCACATTGTCTGCTTCACTACATTCGTGTAAAACTTGGGTGAAGGCTGGTGGCTCAAAGAAAGGTGAAGATATTTCTTTAAGTGCCTAATCCGTGAAATTGAAATATCCCGGCTTTACAAATCTACACTTTTCATTTTCTCCACGATACATTTTTTAAAATTGTTTAAATTTTATCTACATTTGTTAAAATCGGGGCTTTGGTTTTGTGTAAACTAGATCATAAAGTTTACTATAGTTTTGTGTAACCTGATGGCTGAAGAAAAAAGTAATTTTGCTAAAATGATGTGCGGAAATTTGTTGCTTTCCAAATCAAATTACTCATACCTATATTTCATTCAAAATTAGGAGGCATTATTACTGTTTTTTCTTGTAACATGAACTGAGTTTGGGTACGGTGCTCCGGAAACGTTGTGGAACTTTAAGCTAGCTAGAGCAGTTTCCATAAAAATTGTTTAGATAGTTGACATGGCTTGTTGACAACTCTTGCTGTTTCTAAAAAAGTGAAAAAAATATTTTCCTGCATTAAGCACACAAGGCATGTTATTCTCATAAGCTATCGAATGTGTGTGTGTGTGTTTTTAAGCTGTTTTTTTAAGCTTTTAAGCTGTAACTTCAGTTACTTCACTTTAGAACATATTGCCCAGAATGCGTCACTGATCATGAGCTGGTATATCATATCATATGTAGCAAATACATAAATGAGAATAGTGTGTCATGAATTTTTGTGCATGCTTCTGGATCATCTGTAATTACATCAAAGGCTCGGCTCAAGAGTGTCCTGCCGACCAGCTTATGCCCAACCCTTTCTGTCCGCAGAACGTCGCCTGCGACTCCCGCACGCCGTTTGCCCCGGCCGTCCGTACTGGTCTTTGCGCTGCGAGCCGCGCTGGAGTTCGCGGCGGCGTCGTGGAGCTCCCATCGGGACGGCGTGTGATGCCCGCGTCGAGCTTATAAGCCGTGAGCTTCGATTGGCGGCTCACGCGGTCACCAGCTGTATGTACAGCCTCGGCCCCGACGACCCCGCTAATGGCCGAGACCGGCATACCCCCGGCATGGGTCCGCTGTCCGGCGCAGCGCTGGCCGCCCGCATGCTATGCTACTTTTGGCTGTATCGCTGCCCAGCGGGAGCGCGCTCCACGCTGCGGAAGAGGTACACGTTGCGACCCGACTGAGGACTGCAACCGGATGGTGACACGTCGGCCTCTGCGCCCTGGCTGGGGCAGGCGTGACCGACGTCACAGTGGAGGAACGCCCAAACAAGACCAGCCCACCGTCGGAGCAGCATGGAAATATCATGTTCTGCCTGGACGTCGGACCCGGCGGCCGCAGTGCACCTGCACACGTGCGGAGAGGGGCGCTGGAGGCTACTCTGGAGCTTCTGCCATTCCGCGGCGCGACTGCTGGCAAAACGGCGGCGATTGAGGCGGTTGGGAACAGCTGCAGCAATGGTGATGGCGGTGATGGCGACATGGCGGTTTGGGACTTCATCTCAGCGCGGCCGCCGCCCAGGCGCCGCTGCGCCCGGCTGCTCAGCCACCTACCGGATGGCGGGGTGGCCCTTACGGCCCTCACGCCCGTTCGGTCTGCGGCCACGTTGTGGGGTGGCGGTCGCGGGGTTAGCGGCGTTGGACTTCGTCCTTTATCCAGACTGCACCGTACCATCTGAACGGATGGATCTGCCAAGAAAGATGACATCTAAGGCGGCTATGAGGCGATCACAAAGCTTCACCAAGAGCTTCTCCTTCATGGGGCCGGCCGGCCGTTAAGTCGCAACACCGGCTGCCGAGTGCCAACAGCTGCGTGCGCTGGCGCCGACGCGTTGTGGGCCGCGCTGCTGACGCCCAAGCTGCGATATCAACCATCTATGAATAAGTGGCAGCGGTGGCGGCTTGTCAGTTGTTAACGTGCCTCAACAGACGTTGCGAATAGCCCGCGTTGGAATCGCATGGTTGGCAACACAACGCAAGTAAAAATGGGCTTCCTTGATGAACCTACTTTTTAAGCATTGTAGCCTTTGTAATTTTGGATGTTTTGCTGTAGATATTATTTTCTACATATATACTATATAGGCACTCACGTGCTTTAAATCGCGCAATGCAATTGAACCATGGTAAAGACAATGATAAATGAACTGAGAGCTGACATGCCCCATGCTTTGTGTGTGTATGTGTGTGTGTGTGTGTGTGTGTGTGTGTGTGTGTTTTTTTTTTGGCGAGTCGATAAAAGTGGTTTTGGACACTGGATGAGTTTTTAGGGGTGTGGTGAGGGGGGATGTAATTCCACAGACCTTCTGTCAGATTCACTAATGCAGTAGGTCTGTGCGGTGTTTAGTTATCGGAGCATTCTTTGAAAGTCGTGAATAGGGCCACCGAGTACCTAAAGCCGTGATATTCCCCCACAAAAACTTCTTTTAAATAGCCGGGGATAGGTACATGAGCAGAGTAAATGCTATTACGAACGCCTATCACAATGCTGAGCGAATAGGAAAATCCATAGATGGAGAATTGTGCCGCGTTACGGGTGCTCGGGCGCAGCCAATCCACCGTTACCCCAGCAGTGACCTTGACCCGCATCGTCTGTCTCGGCTCCAAAGCCAAACCGGCGTGGAATTGGGAGCGTTCGAGCACTCATGGTCCAGCGCAATTCTCCACCTAAATCCATTCCTGATACACATTTGCTTGCTCATAGTCATGTAACCCCGGTAAATTCACCCAACTTTCATATTGGTCGCTCCATAGACAGATGGCCACAGAGATCAACTTAAAAGGCCATTGTTGCATTCATTTAGTGGAGATCATTAAAGAGCCGTGACAAGCCACAAGTCGCGTGACATCATACGTGTAACGACCAATGACGTCGGCCTGCAAAACCCAATGGAAGCGGCTAGCAGCGTGCAATAAAACAGGGCGCTGCTTTCTAAATGTCTGTCGTGCGCCATAAATGAATATATTCTTTGTAGCCTGGCAACTCAGTATCTTTTTTTAACTATTGTACTAGTATTTAATAATTTCATAATTTTATAATTGTGCTTACGCTTTATGTTGATATTAGTGATAAATCCTTAGATAAAGTAAATCGATGTGATATTTAATAGAAAAATAGCAAACTAACGCACCATTCATTCGAAAGCTGGGGAACCTACTAAAGAGAACTACTAAAATTCCTGAGGAACCAAAGGATCAAATGGGGATTAAATAGATGCCTGCTATTCCGTCGTGAAAACGGCCATTATAGATTTGTTTGCCTATTTCATGTTGGTTCTCGGGTAATTAAAAACTAAAACTTTGGAAATTAATCATGATTAGAAAATTGTGAGGCGAGCAAATAACCAAATTGAGCTTTTGAAGACGGAAGAGCTCCCTATTTGCGTGGCCAACTACAGGATTGTATGCTATACAATCCTGCGAGCAGAGGGCTATCAGCCTGAGTGGACAATGTAGGTATTCGTATAACATACCGTGATCCGGTCCCGATAGTTCCGCGACACCAACACTGTGTCGGCCTCTGTGAGCACGGACTGACTATACGGCGATATTTTGGCATCAATGATGCACATGGCGGATAACATAACACGTTCAGTCCACGAATAAATACTTCGGGTGTCCATGAGGATTGAGAAGTTGCGTCATCGGGAAACGGTACCTTACGTGAAATGTGGGTGAATTATGGGTCAATTAGGTAATTCGAATGAGTGTGATCAAACGTAGGTAGGTAGAACGGAAGTGAAACTGACTGCACAAGCACAGCGCCCGGCAATATGATTAGACCAATAATTTAATCACGTTGCCCTCTGACAGACCCGCCCCAGTGCACTCACGGCCTCGATCACGCCGCAGCTGACGCAGGCCACCAGCAGCGAGCAGAAGAAGCAGTGTCTGAGGAGCGCCATGACCGCGCCGGAGGGCCTCAGGGGAGCGCGCCGCGTCCGGCCGGCACGCAGACACGCATACCTCGCCGCCCACCGCCCACCGCGCCGACACAGACCCGTCGGGGTCGGAACACCGCGGGAACAGAACGGCACCGATCACAGCACGGCCGCTACTACGGTCACAGGCGCACCCCCACACAGACACAGGCCGGCCCGGTCCGGTCCGACTCCGACTCCGGCCGTTCTCACGGAGAAGCGACTGCCACCGGAAGCCCGCCTGGGCCGCCGCCGAATCCACACCTCCGTGGGACTCGGGAGGCCACCGGCCGGCGCATCCAACGCCCCCGGCTATCGGACACAGGTGAACGGCACCCAACGCGACGCGAGCGACCTCTAGAGGGCAGGTCGGTAAGGGGTAGTTAGCCGAGTGGCCGCTGAAGCTCTGACGCTTGGCAGGGCATTGAATTCACTGGTTATGCCTACCTACCTGTTTGGACGGACTAAAAAGTCTTGGGAATGCAGTTGGTAATGCGGTAAAGGCACACTCCTTTTCAATACTCCTTTGCTGTTACCCTCTGACACCTCCGTCTGGCTATATCGTTCTTCCCGACACCTTTATTTATTATTGGGTTAGATAGTTCCTTCTGACACATCCGTCTGGCTTTATTGTTTCAGGGCTGTGGAGTCGATGGATTTTAGGGTGACTCCGACTCCGACTCCGACTCCGGCTTCTTAAATCCAATCCAACGCCCCCGGCTATCAGGGGCGTTGGATTGACTACGACTCCAACTCCAACTCCGACTACGGACGGTTCTGTTAAAATCCATATCATGACATCGAAGTTCATAATGGAGATGTTTTTATCTTGCCTGACACGGTCTCTTGTGCGTTCCAAGGCTTTGCGTCGCAAATATGCATAAAAAATAACATGCAGAATTAAAAAGCGGTTTTTGAGAAATTCACCGTCTTCTGCTTCTTTTGCTGAAAACTTTCGTCCAAACCAGCAAAAGGTTTTTTTTCGACAAAATTTAATTTCGAGCGCGGTATCGTAAATAAAGGAGTTGGAGTCGGTAAGATTTTGGCGACTCCGACTCTGACTCTGACTCGGGACAGAACTATCGACTCCGACCGACTCGACTCCGACTCCGCAGCCCCGGACTTTTTACTGTCCTTGCTTCTTGGGGTGTAATTGAGAGAGAGAGAGAGAGAGAGAGAGAGAGAGAGAGAGAGAGAGAGAGAGAGAGAGAGAGAGAGAGAGAGAGAGAGAGAGAGAGAGAGAGAGAGAGAGAGAGAGAGAGAGAGAGAGAGAGAGAGAGAGGGAGGGAGAGAGAGAGAGTGAGAGACACAGAGAGAGAGAGAGAGAGAGAGAGAGAGAGAGAGAGAGAGAGAGAGAGAGAGAGAGAGAGAGAGGGAGAGAGGGAGAGGGAGAGGCAGATAACTATGTGTAAATTTCTCGTAAACTACGCGCGAACTATGTGTGACTCTACGTGAACTAGTCGTGAACGGTGCGGAAGCCTTCCAAATGGTGCCCCAAAATGACACGAATTGCCGGGACAATCCCTCTGGTTGTATTGTTCTCTAAACACGTGTGGTTATGTCGTTCCTACTGGAACCTCCGTCTTATCTCTGTTGTTCCTTCTGACACCTCCGTCTGAGCTCTCTAGCTCCCTCTGACACCCTGGTTATGGTTATATCGTTCCTCCTGACACCTGCGCTTAAACTCTGTAGTTCCTTCTGACACCTCGGTTTGGTTCTATCGCTCTTCCTGACACCCGGCTGAACTCAATAGTTCCTCCTGGGCCCCTGACATTTCCGTCAATACGGCGGGGCGTCCTCGCGGCACCGTTGTCGGCGCCCAGTGGCACCTGTTTGTTCGGACCACGTCCGCTCCAGCGGCGGCCGATCGATGGTGGTCAGTTCAGCAGTGTGCTGCAGCCGCTCTGACCCACTGCCGCACGTGCACCGGTTATACACCTGGACACACCCGCCCTCATTAGTCCGACAGTCGCAGTGGGCTCCACTGGGTCTGTCTGTCAGTGTCCGTTTTACCCCACCCCGCGCTACCCGTCCGCCCACGAGGGACGCTCGTTGCCCTCTGCACATGTCGGCGCGCGGCTCACGTCGGTCCTACATGACTCGCACAATGGTGGAGCAGCCACCGTGCGCTATGGATTGCCGCACCTCGCTGCCCCACTCGCATCGATCGCCGTCTCTAGGCGAATTGGACAAACATTGCGCGCTGTTACAGGTGCAACGCGGCGCGACTGCCGCGCGCTGGCCGCCGTGGCAACGGCGCCGCGCTCCTCTGTCAACACAGATCGGACGGTCGTCAGCACGTCGGAAGCGGCGCCGGGCAGTCGCACGCGTCACGTCGCAGCCGTCGCAGAGAGAGCCTGGCGTCGTTCCCGTCAAAGGCGTCGTTGTAGGCATTACGTCGCGCCTGCCGTTGCAGCTGTCGTTGCCGAGGTCGTGACCTACGGTGACCTGAAGCTCATCAGGCGTCCGTCTCCAAAGGTATTGACAGCAAACGGATACGACGTCGACGTGTAAGTCGTGCCAGCTGCCGCCAACGACCAGCGAGGGCCGTGCCGGCAAAAGGCCACCAGTTGCGCGAACTGCTAAATCAATAACAAACGATGTGCGATAGTGACGCTATAAGTGACAGTGTGGCAAGTGTGTGAACACACCTTCGTTAAAAAGTGAATAAGTAATTTTCGCCCAAAAAGTGGAAGGTAAACGTGAAGACTCACCCAGGCTGCATAACTACCGACCGGGGTGCAAATTTTGTTGAAGATTTTCTGTGGTAGCATCCTGCGGGAAGCTTTTTCCCTGACTTCATCGCACCGACAACAGCCGCTTCTCACAGCTGAAGTCTTCAGATCGACTTAGAAGGGCTTGGTATGGGCACTTGGCATCCCTATCGTACGCTGACGTTTATGTGTGTTTGAGTTTGTGTCTCATTGACAGATTCGACGGTGTTCGTAAAACGCATGGATGGGACACAACAGAGTGTTTCTCGGCTTCTCCTCATCACATTTTCATGTCTTTTTGTCTGCTACACACGCCTGTTTATCTTCAAGGGTATTTCTGCAATCGGTGCTTCGCAGTATCTTGAGCTAAGTTTTGGTGAGAGTTCGAGATCTCTCGTTAGAATGTCTGCAGTCTACAAAATCGCACTGGCTGCGAGTCTCGCGATTAGAGGGGCGCTGCCAGCTGCGTATCTGTTTTGGAGGCGTCCCTCCCAAAGTCAGCAATCTGTGCTTCTGTGTGGGCTTCACTGGAGCTCCATATTGTGGCACCAGCGCAAAATAACATGGTGAGAGAGCAAAAGGACGGCACGTCAAAAGCCTTTATTGTTCGCATGAAGCAACTTATTGCGGATCATAATCGACCGTCTAAGCATGCGTTCCAGTTACAAAGGCGGATAAACTTTTGAATAAGATCTTCCAGCCTGGATAAAGGATAAAAGGCCTTATCGTAACTAGTCACGTGATGGATGTTTATTTTGCTAAACGAGCTAGATGTGAGACAATTATCTGCGCGCCATGCGACAAACGAGAGTGTGTTTTGGAAATAATGACTTAGTTATTTTTAAATGTGTTTAACATCAAATTGGGCCCCATGATATTCATGTGTTATGTTAGAGGGAGCAGGATATTGTGCAGTGAAAATTGCAATGATCATTGCTTGCTGACGCAGACGGACGGGGCGATGCGATGATCAAATTAGGCGTGGTTTATCGCACGCAATACGATGCAAAAATGGTTATTTTTATTTCATGTTAGTCTTGGCTTTGCTGAAGGTAAGACGATTTAAGATATTAAACGGTTACATAATGGTACTACGAGACCAACTTGATGACTTTCCTTCAAAGTATCATTGGATGTTGGAACGTAATTAAGAGTAGATGCTTAGGAAATGTGAATACTTTCCCGGTCACTTTGGGGCATTTAAAGCTTCTTTTCAGGAAGGAATCAAGAGTTTATCGAGATCAATATGGAGCCTCACTAACAGAATGCTTCATCATGTGGTTAAACACCAACATTTTGAAAATTTCTCTTCGAATCCATTTTATGACTTGAGATTATCCTTCCACTTCGTCATAACCTATGCCCACGTCCTTTATTCTAGCTGTTTATTGTGCATATGCAATACTGACTAAGGGGATTTGAGTACAACGGAAGAAAAAATTATGTTAAAATAATTGTAGATTAAACGCAAGTATAAATCTAAAGCGCAAACCCTAATGAGTTCTGTAACATCGCGTCTGGGTCGTGACTTTAAATCAATAAATATCTGCACACTAAACATAACATTTCAGTCACTTTACGCTTGATCGTGTTCAAAGTTGGCGATTCTGATCGATGTTTTTTTGCATTGCAGAATTCTTCCCCGATAAGACATCTGTGATCACCAACGAACACTTGGCCTTTTACCAGAGAAAAGACTTCTACTTGATCACCGTTCCATGCGCAGTCGGTACGTGAAAAACGGGTCACTGAAAGCTTGCACTTCATTGTTTTATCGCAGTGGCTGGAGACTACATATTCTGAAATGGTACATTTGATGTCAAGTTGTTCCTTTCGCTTTTTTCTGGTATGAGTCTTCACAGATCATTATTAGCACCTGTAGAAAAATGCGCCATGAAAATGGCTTACCGTAAATTGTACTGTAGCCGTTTTGTTTTACATCTGTCTTATTTGCTTCCTTGGCGTTTTCTTTAGGAACGCCCCTTTCCCGTTTCAGCGGCGCTGTTTTTGATCTGCTGCGTGCTCTGCTGCACCCTGTACGCGCGAGAGGGCGTGTGTCACCTGTTCGACTTCCCGGAGGAGCTGCGGCGCCACGCCAGCGGCGAGCACTTCCTCACAGTGGACGAGTTCCTGGAGCTGGAGCGACGCCATCGGCTCGGCCTGCCCGTCGAATCGCTGCTCGAACTGGAGAAGAAGCGGCGGTCTGAGGCCGGCGCCGGGATTCCTCAGCTAGAGGGCGACCAGCCTGTGGCGGAGGAGGGCTGGCCGCAGCCTGAGGGTGACGCGGGCACCTGGGCTCAGCCCCAGGAGCCACCGACCAGTGACGCCGTCTACATGTCGGGGCAGTCAGACGCCCGAGTGGCGTCATCCCTGGCGGACACGCGCTCTCCTCAGGCGCAGTGGAGCGCCCCGAGGATGAGGAGGTCAATGTCGCTGGATCGTGTGACCAACCGAGGCGCAGATGAGCTCGGCAGTCGGCCTGGACAGTATGCTGCTCCCACAGACGCACCAGCGTCGCCCGGCGCAAGTCCGATGCAATATGAAGCGCCGCCTCAGCAGCAGGGAAGCGAGTTCCCGAGACAAACGCCGCCCGGTGACCGTCGTGAGCCGGATCCCACAACCGGGCAGCTGGAGGCAGGCCGTCCAGCTCCTGAGACTGCTCCCAACGCTTTCAACCCTGCTGACGACGCAAGAAGAGCACCTGCCGACGACCCCCGGTATCCAGCAGACTACCGTCGTCCCAGCCAGCCGCAGGACAGTTTTGGAGCGGACCGCGGATACCCGCGCCGCTCCGACCCTGAACTGTTGCGTCGCGCTGCTGAGCGAGGTTACGACCCCGGGGGTGTCTACGGAGGACCAGGGAGGCCTCCGGACGGCTACGACCAGTGGTCTTTGAGAGATCGACCATATGACGGAGGTCACCCTCCGCCAGAAACTTATGACCGCTCTCCGCACTTGGCCGACCAGCGTGATTCTAGGAACCGCGATCCCGCCGACCGACCTCCACTAGGAGCGGAACGACCTGGAGTTGACCGACAGCTGACGGACAGACAGGGACCGGAGGTTGGGCGCAGGCACTCGGGTCTGCAGCGCTATAGCTCCCCGCCAACGGCTGCAACCGACGGACGAAGGGTCTCATCCAGGGACGGTGCCATCATGCCACCATCTGGGGACAGGACGCTTCAAAATGACTACAAGACGGACATTCCTCCATCAGCAAGGGGTGATGTATATTCTGCTGGAGCTCCTCGACAGGATTTACCTCCTAAGGGTGGTTTGGATGATCCTAGGCAAAGAGTTTATCCTCCGGAGGATCCCCTACGTCCTGATGTCGGACGGAGTGCTCCGAGGGATCCACCCCACCAGTACGTTCATTCCGATAGGGGCTATCCAAACGAAAATCGGCAATTGTATGCAGATCGGGATCTTCAGCACAGAGCTCCCTCCGGTGGCAGACTTGTGTACGACGAATATGATTACCCTCCACATGATGCCAATGGTTCACGGTACGCAGATTTCCCAGATAGTCGTACTCGTTTATATGATGATCCACGGGGACCGCCAGGTGGTCAGCGATATGATTCTGATAGTCGCGGAACGCCCCAACAACAGGGTTACGATGCTCCTGAGCAAGTCATGCAGTACGATCGTCCTGTCTCAAGAAGAGCTTCCCAAGCCTATGAATATGTCGACCAGGGTTACGCTCCGCATCCTGACGTGAGGGACGGGGGATATCGACGAGGGGAGGGTGCCCCATCTCGAGTCTCTTCTCAGGGTTCCCTCTCCTATAGGCGAAGATCAGATGAACGGTTCTTGCCACCTCAACAGCAACTGGTGGATAGCTTTGGCCGACCCATTTCAAATGGGACGGATATGCGTGAACCTCGTGGGATTCCTCCCAGACCCCCGGACTATCCAGGGCGCCCAGTTCCAGCTGACCGCGCAGAATCTCGCCAATGGGTCACAGGAGCCGACGGCAGGCGGTACTTGGCTGCAGTCAGATCGGGGCGCAGTGCCACGGCGCCATCCACGCCCCGTCAGTGGTCCGGAGTACAGTCGCCGCGTATGGAGTTCCGTGCCGACGGCCCGGGCAGCTCAAGGATTTTCGGCAACACCATCAGACCTGTTCCAGTGGGGATTTATGGTGAAACTGTTGATATAAACGGCCCAGATATGTCAGGATATGACAACAGAGATGGCCAGAAACCGTATGATGACCGATACATGGAAGAATCTCGTCGTAGGGAGAATGATTGGCCAGATAGAGACGATAGGCGAGCCTTAAATGACTCGTATGGCCGCAGTGAGGAGGAGACTCGCCCCGATCAGCAGCCTCCAGCTCCTCGACCGTCGGGCCTCTTACAGCGCGTGCGTTCGGTATCCGTCAGTCGGATGTCGCACTCTCTTCGTCAGATGGTGGCCGGCAAGCAGCAGCCGAGCTCCCGCAGTCGCTCCGAGGAGCCCCGCGACCTGGCTGGAGACAGTCCTCGCGGCTCGGCGGCCTGGCTGCTGCACAGGATCCGCTCTCTGCGGGGTGTGTCCGAGCAGCCGACGGTGTCATCGCGCAGCAGTCAGCGACGGCGGCAGGAGCGCCGCACGGACCGTCTGAACCGGTCGCACGGGCCGCAGGACAGTCTGACCGGGTCCGAGGGGGCCGTCAGTGGGGCGGCGGACTGGCCGTCCTCGGTGGAGGACCTCGAGGAGGGTGAGTACGTCAGCCCCTCACGGAGGGACGGAGAGGGAAGTCGGCATCCAACTCCGCTGCCAGCCGGACAGGATCGTGCAGGACTTGATGAAGTGTTCCCGACTGAATTACAAACACAAAGTCCAAGACAAGGAGCGGAGAGTGACGTAACGAAACCGCCCGATGAAGTGTCAGCAAAGCAGCCTTCACCAAAGCAGGAGCCCGTGCAGTATGTTCTGGAGGAGCATGATGGACGAAAACGGATCGTCGCTGTTGCCACTGATCTGCCTGAAGCCGATCAGTTTGTTGGAGATGCGCTGGAGCCACCAGCCGGCGATAAGCGAGCAGTCAGCGATTACTCCGGTGACAGTGATGAGGATGCTGCGAAGAAGAAAGGCCAAAAGAAACGCAAGGTCAGGAGTGCTGTTAAACACCTACGATCTGATGAGTCGGCAAACAGCCAAACTAAGAGGAAGAAGTCCAAGGCCAAAAAGAAGAAAAAGAAACATTCCCGCAAGCGATCGAAATCCAGTCGAAGCACGAGCAGTTCAAGTAGCTCTTCGTATGAGAAATCAACGAAAAGATCTAAGCGGCACAGCGCTTCTTTGTGCGGAGACAGTGATCAAAGTGATTCTGATGATTCCGACTACGACGTAGAATCTTACGAAGATAGCCAAGTGTCCTTAGCAGAGCATGGCAGGCGTCTTGCCCGTTCGGGATCCCGAGACAGTCACCGATCTACTAACCAGCGGCGATACCAGGCTCACAGGGACAACAGGTTCAGCGAGAGGTCCATGTACGGCCAGCAGGACCGGCGGCCCTACCAGGGCCACCACCACCACTCGCCGCGGCCGTCCCCGGCACCCGGCAGGAGCCGCTGGGACTCGGGCTCGCCGGGGCGCGGCGGCCCGGCCCGCTCCGAGACGCCGCCCGACCGGGAGCTGACCCCGGACAGGGGCCGCTCGGAGCTGAACCGGCACGGCCAGCCGCGACATCGACCGGTCGTCTTCCAGAACGAGTCACTGCGCTCCTTCGTCAGCCAGCCGCCGCGGCGCGCGTTCGTGCAGCGCGGCCGGCCGCCGCGGACGGGCCGGGGCACCGTGCCGGCCTGGATGCGCCGGCCGTTCCAGACCAACCAGTCCTTCATGTGGCAGCAGTACCCGGAGTCGCCGCAGCGCGGCAGGGCCAGGGGCTCGCCGACCGGCCATCAGGGCCCGCGCACGCCGCCGCTGCCCTCGCCGCCCCCGGGCCCCGACAGACAGTCGCCGTCCACCACCCCGCCGCGCCCCCCGCCTCGTCCCGGCCCGGCCGTGCGGGCGGACCCGCGCACCAGGCCGGCGAGGGACCCGCGGCTCTGCGCCGCCAGGACCCAGGCGGCGCGCGAGGCCGCCGCCCGCGAGTGCCAGATGAGGAGGGCGGTGCTGGGAGAGACGAGCCGAGAGGAGGTCGGCTGCACCAGTAAGCTCAAACGGTTCTTCGATGAATGATGTGTCAGGCAGGGCCATTATTTGGTATTTGTAGTCTTTGGAATGCATGTTTAATTGACTGGACACATCCGAAGGTTAATGAGACTCTGGGAGTGATGTGTTTTGTGTAAATAACGTGTCATGTCTATCCATTTAACTATGTATGTTGACTGTTGTTTCCGTGTGATATACAAGAGTGCTGTAAACGTGATGTTGATCTCAATTCCGCGTGGTCGTCTACACACGTAATACGCCGTTGGGCAGGGTTTGCCGGTCTTCTAACAACGAGTTGCAAAGGGGGAATCATAAGTGCTGATGACGTAGTTAGTGTATCGTGCACGCGGAAAGACGCATGCTTTTTAGATATGCGGCTGATGCTGTCACTTTTTCACCCTAGGCCACTGAAGGATGTATTCGTGCTCGTGGACGTTTTTAACCAATTATATGTATATTCGGTAACTGCTGCCATCATTTTAAATGTTGAATATACGGCGATTAGATGAATATTTTGTGAATCATTGCTACCGAATAAGGAAAAGATTGCTCACAAGTTGACATGCAAATTGAAGATGGCTCTACTTATTCTTAAAATACGCACTCACAAGATTCATTGGTTGAGATGTACAATGCTTACACGAGGGCGTATTCCACGTTTCGGTTCTTTTGGGCCGCTCACTCGGAGGAGAACGAGATAAGATAAATTAAACAATGCTGACATGTAGGTAACGGATCAAGACCTCAGAAGCCAGATTAACATTTCTTCACATTAATAGCACAGCGCAGTTTAAAACTGCTATAGTATGTAAATGCAGGGGCCCAAAATAACGCATTGAAAGGTTATTGGTGCAGTCGCGACACACACAAAACCGATGCACATTGCACACGCATGGCTAGGCACACATGAATTTCACTCAGGAGTCAGGTTCTAGCACGCCCTACCACTTGTGGTAACCTGGTCTGGACTCTGGAGTTTCTTAATTTCATAATCATTGAGTGAACTCACAAATCACATCAGACGTAACATTCACAGTCGCCATTCACAGGCGACAGTTCGCACTCGCGGATGCGTGCTGGCCCTTGAGTTACTGCGTCTCAACCAACACTGTCCATCCTGCCGCCGAAGACACTCGATAGATAAAGTGGTACCGCAGCGCCGTATCTCGCATTGTCATTACACTCTCCATGTAGGAACGTCTGAGGCCATCCACACCAGTGACCAGAGTTTCGACCAGAGTAGAGTATTCCATCACTATAAGTCGCACTGGTCAGTCACTCTCTGGACCAGCTCCACTCTTGTTCACATGTCCACCAGTTCGAACACCTGCCTCACTAATCACTACGCTTCGTCCGGCTCGGGATTCTGCAGGGTGTGCCACTGGGCGATGGGCCGTCTGGGCGCCGCCAACATGTCGGTCCAGTGACGCAGCTCGGCTCCCGTTGCCTGGCAACCGAGGACGCAGCGTCCAATGGGGTCCGACGATCCGATCCGATCGTAGTCCACCACTGTGACAATCAGCTGCACCTTCTGAGGAGAATCAAACAAAAAATTGGGGGTACGACAGCAAGCTCCAACCTTTTCATGGAAACACTTAGCATCGGTAAAGAGGTCAGAGTTAAGCGATGCACATAACGCGATGCTATTTAATGATGATGGCAAATCGGCCAGTGCATTTAAACGTCTAACACTTAAATTATGACATCGCATATGGAATTGCTAGCCTCGTTGGCTTGAAAGCTAAATAATATACTAGGCGCCACTAGGACTTCCATATGGATGGAAACCAGCTGGTTACGAGCTGACCACTGACCAGATCGATAGGCCTAATTAGGCCAGGTGTGTTCCCTTGAATAAGCCATATAACATTGCATCATAATCTGTCCAGTGTCGTGTCGGTGCTGATAGGCCTTTAGGTCTCCGGTGGTCATTACGGTTATTACTGTTAACGGGCTCTGTTCGAGCCAGCACATATCTCGTTGCCATGTCGGCACCGAATAACCCCTTTAGACTGCGAGGGAGAGACATACTGCACCGCAGTGCACCTGGGTGGTTAGGCTGTGCCGCAAATCACGTGCGCCTGAAGAGATACTATGCCGCACAGCACGTGCGCCTGAAAAGATGCTGTGCCGCAAACCGCGTGCGCCTGAAAAGATGCTGTGCCGCAACTCACGTGCGCCTGAAAAGATGCTGTGCCGCACAGCACGTGCGCCTGAAAAGATGCTGTGCCGCAAACCGCGTTGGCCTGAAAAGATACTGCACCGCAGTGCACTAGAAAGGAGAGCGATAGCTGCCACTTCCAAGCTCCAACACAGCCCTCTTACCTCTATTTGATTTCTGTTTATCTTGTCGAATGTCATGCTTTCGTTGAAATACGGATTTAGCGTATTTCTTTTCACTGATGTTTTCTTCTTTTTGGGTTTTCTTTTGCCAAGAATCACTTCTACCTTCACATATGGATCTGGAAACATGCGTTATGTTACAAAGCTGGCTCCGTAGAAGTGGCCCAAATGGAGTCGTCCACCTGCGTTCGGTTAAACTCATAAGAGTTGATTTTATGGGAAGGTTTTTAGTTTTATTCATTGCCACTATGCCCGATTCACTCGATATTCCAATAACATGAGCAATAAAATGTTCCGCAAAAATGAGCAATAAACAATAACATGAGCGATAAATGTGCATGATAAACGTACTTGCATTGAGCATCGACTGCCACTTCATTTATAATTCGCATTGTACATAATTCATCCGTGCATTTGGGAAGAATGACATGGATTATGCCTACATTTTATATTATGCCGGAAGAAAATCGATTTAAGTGACGCTGTATTTCATCGACAGCGTGGATATCTCACCCGATAGGCCTCCCACGTCCATCTTTTTCAGATTTTTTGCTTCCAGAATTGTCACCGTCAGCTTACTGGATGTGGGGACGTATCGGATTGAAAAACATATGTCGCCCAGTTTCTTGTCCTGTAAAAATGCAAATTGTCATTAATTACTTACTTCTTAAACGCCAGCCTTTCTTCCTATTACCGACAGCATGGGCATCTATAAGAGGTAATCCATTCTGTTCCTATGCTACTATGCTGTGCAGTTTCAATGGATGAATAGTGTATGCTGTTAATCTTTTGGTCTCTCCTTTATCTTTTCCCACCCACCAGTACAGCTCTAACCTCGGTTGACCCGACCTGACCTGTTCTGCGTCGCTCTCGACGCTGACAAGCTCCCTGCACTCGTCGATGACATTAGCGAGGTCGACGTGCGACAGGGGCAGCTGCACCTCGCCGATCTGATCGTGCTTGGAGAACCGGTCGAAGTCGAACACGGCAAACACCAGCGTCTTGTTCATCGCGTCCGCGTAGGGCAGGCTCTGACGACAGGAACAGGCTCGCGATCAATGGGTGACATTGGAACTGTCTCTGATGTGCCGTTGAAATTTAACTGAATAAGGCAGATATGGATATGGACACAATACCGTTTAAATTCAAATCGACCGTGTTGTAAAAGTTTAGGTTTCGTTTCCTGATGCCCATAGCAGCCCTGGACTTTTACCTTAAATTTGAAGGTCTCGTTGAACCAAGGATTCAAGGTATTCTTCTGTACTTTTGTTTCGAATTTTTTCTTCTTCTCTGGCAGAAGGTAGACTTTCACATACGGGTCCGAAGTTCCGCCGACATCCAGCGCAGGGAGTCCTTCACAGCGAACGACCACCACTATCAGAGTCTTGGCGGTGAAATCGTACTCTAGCTGAAATCGAAATTGGTTACAGATCGGTGCTCTACATACCTAAGTCACTGTTAAAAACTGAGACAGCATTGATGGTCTGTTTTGCATTACTCTCTAAATTTTTTGTCCAAACTTCTGCAAAAATTCGCCACCCAACAGCCTTTGTCACGCTTCCCTACCATTACATATCATACACATGCAGGCTGCATCAACAGCGTCATCGGTGTCGTATCACCTTGAACTGAAGCCTCCCGATACTCTGAGCGGCATCCTCCACGCCGAGGTCAGTCTGGTCTCCGCCGGTCTGACTGCCAGTCTGCAGAATGTCGAGGGGGGGGGGAGGCGGATTGCGGTGAGACAGAGATAAGATCCGTAAGTCTGCGGGCTGACTAACACCCGGCTTTGAGCTGCTAGCTTTGTCATATTGATGGTTTTGAATTAGGGGAATCTTTAGTAAAAGTTAGACACCCATTGCATCAGCAACAGAGATACCGGTTCAAATTGGATGTACAAAATTGATTTGTTATCGAAGCATGTTCCATTGAACGGGAAGCAATAACCATTCAAGAACCTGTACTCTGTTATAGATTGCTCTTGGATTAATTTTTGGTAAGAATTATCATTTTCAGTTCTGCTGGAATGTTGGGCAATATGATTTGCTTGCTTTCTCTAGTTTCTCTCTTCCCCTATATCTAGCGCATTGTTAGCATTTTATATAGAGCGATAAAATCCCTATTTGTTCAGCTTATTATCATGGCAGAAACAAAATGTCCAGCTTCCTTGAACAGAATTCTTTACCAAAATTCAATTCTCATTGTGCAGAGTTCTCACCTTCCCACTGGACCTCCTCGAGGACTTGTTGTCGGCTATCTCCTCGTCCTGCACTTGTGCTCCGTTCCCTCGGCAGGGACGCAGGCAGAGTCGAAAACACCAGAAACATAGCGCCAGAATCAGGATGCCCACGCCTGAAACACGCAAACTTGTCCGGGTGAAAGAATGAAAGAAGGGCGGATTCTTGTTGGTTAGGCCCAATCTTTCCCGGCGTTGCTTTTATATACATATAGAGATGACCAAGGACAATTCATCCGTTTATATATGAATGGGCAAGGGATATGCCGCCTTACTTCACTTGCCTAACCAAACATAATGCGTGCGTTCAAATAAAGCGTTTTAATTTGATAAAGGCACATAACGTGGCCCATGCGTGACATACGAGTGCACTGCACCGTGCAAATGTTCATCCCACGAAACATGCAATCGCACTACATTAAAGTGACACATGCATATTCTTATTAAGATACGGCAGAGTGTCACTAGTCACGACTTCCTACTATTCATTCGGACCAGAATAGGTAAATCCAAACACAAGGTTAGCTACATTGCAAGAAGATGAGTTTTGCGTTCGCATAGAAGGACACGCAAACCGATCATTAATCACGATGCGCATCCTGTTGAAGTCGACGTCAACACAATATATCGAGCGGCGAGGACGCCCTTGAGCGTACATTCGTGCGTGTCTAAATCACGAGTGGGAAATGAAATATCGATCTCGTTATGCATACAACATGCACGGAAGACGGGGAAATAACAGACGGGAATCCTCAACCGACTAGTTTTAGGCTAGAACCGACTGCTACAGCAATTACCCAGTTGCTGAAACAGTGCCTTTATGTATTGTATATGTATATTGCACCACTAAGTTTGTGGTTATGGTGCACGACTTTTCTGCGACTGTCTAATCTGTCCCGTTGATTTTACTACGACCTTCGTTGGTAAGTATCCATCCAGCCGTGAGCTGAGACGCGTTTTTACTCGCCAGGTCTCTCCCTTTTGGCAATGTACGCAAATTACTAGCTTTCTTTTCAACTGATATATTCACGGAGGTAGGCAGAAAGGAAAACACACATAGTAGTCATGGGCCCAGGGCTGCGGAGTCGAAGTCGGAGTCGGAGTCGGAGTCGGTCGGAGTCGACAGTTGTGACCGGAGTCGGAGTCGGAGTCGGAGTCGATTTTAGAAACTCGAGCCGGAGTCGGAGTCGGAGTCACCGAAAATCTGTCGACTCCGCAGCCCTGCTAGGTCTGCGGAGTCGGAGTCGGGAGTTGGAGTCGGTCGGAGTCGACAATTCTGCCCGGAGTCGGAGTCGGAGTCGGAGCTGGTTTTTGAAAGCCGGAGTCGGAGTCGGAGTCGGAGTCGCCGAAAATCCATCGACTCCGCAGCCCTGGTCATGGCATCTTACATGGATACCGGCATAAAAATCAGGTCCAACAATACACATGAGGCCAAACGCATCTGCCGAATCGTCTACCAACCAGTCACGTCCAAAATCATTGACAGAACGACTTGCAGGTCGATCCATCGGGCCTATGTAGTACACCGGGTGTCACCAGCCACCTCAGGTCATCAGGTGGACCCACTGGCGCAGCGCGCCTCCAGACGGTCCAGGTCAACGATGTTGGACTCGGTGCCGATCTTCTTCTCTCCCGAGTGCGGGTGCACGCAGTAGCAGCTCGTGCCCGTGCACTGGGTGTGGTGGTAGTTGCCCAGCTCGTCACACTGCAGTGTGACGCCGATCCTGCCGTCCTTCTGAATTTCGGCCTCCTCGATGGCGCAGTTGCACATCATGTTGTCCGTCTCCCAGCGGTTCTTGGTGTACCTGAGTTTCTCGCCGTGCGGGTCCACGCAGTAGCACTGCGACCCGGAGCACTGCTTGGGCAGAAACTTTCCGGCGGGGTCGCAGAGAGGCTCCTCGGCTCCGGGCGGCAGGGCTCCGTCGCAGCTTCTTATCTCATCCAGCTCCATCATTCGGGTCCAGCAGGGCCGTAGGAAGGGCGGACAGGCCTGTCCCGCCACCAGCAGGGGTAGACAGAGCGCCAGCAGGGAACGCATGGTGTCACAGTGTCAGCGCCGCTCACACCTGATACCTCGCCGGGCCAAACACCGGGACTGCATGCCAGCCACGCCGGGACGGCACGTTTTTATACGAGCCGGGCCACACACCGCCAAGGACAATTTGGTATTCGGAACTGATCGCCGCTTCTCGTGCGCAGTTCTCTCGGATACTGTGGAAAACCCGAGACTACCGCAACCGGTTTGGCTACCGCACAACGCTTGGGAGATATATAGCGATTAATGTATGCAAACCTGTCTGAAGGTGGGCGCGGCTTTGCCAATTATGTATTAACGCGCTGACTGGATGCATATATTAATATTATTACGAGAAAAGAACGACGTACGTCGTGCAATCATATGGGAATTCGTAACATATGTAAAAACACGGCCATTTTCTCCTCGAAGATGCGTGTACCCCACTAAAATTCAGTGCCTAAATTGGGAGATATTGGCGCTTTGTGTGATCGGACTGTTCGGAATAAGATCAACGACGTTCAAAGGAAAATCTTTCATGATCTTTGAAAACCCCTACTTTCTTTTATTCTTTTAAAATAAAGGTACATACCTGCGATGCAGTATCAAGATAAACGCTCTCGCCGGAAATACACAATGAAATATCTACCTTTGTCAAACTAGCTTCACATATGTAAGTATTCTAACAGGGATTTAAATTTCATACTATACCAAAGATCTGTGTGGACTGTGGATATGATAAATAATTATTCCTGCAAGAAGTAAAGCAGTTCATTTGGGTACAACCTTGAGCGCGATTGACAGTTTTGTTAGTTTATGTATTTGTGGTGAAACAATTATCTTTGGTATTTAGTTTCTCGTGCGTAAATAAACTATAAAAACGTTTGAAATGTTTGCATATTTTATTCGCACCTTGTGTTGCCTACGATAGGCTTGGACAGATTCACTGAATTTCTAGATTCATCATTATATAATACCATATATGGTACAGTACATATGTATTTTATAAATGCCCATTGTAAAAGATGTGCATGAAGAAATGCGCACATCTTGTGGTTCGATAAAAATCACTTCACAAAATATAAGTATCGAATATTACCGACAGGACTTATGTATAGAATAACAACGGCAACACAGGATGCCACTGAATTGTCGGTTCCGTGGCAGCCAGCTAGTCAGCACGTTTGAGATAATCAGTCGGACCTGCCGCCCAACTGCTATCCGCAGACCCAGCAGACCTCGCCCCCTAGTTGGCGCCACTGGCACAGCGCGCCTCCAGGCGATCGATGTCATTAATGTTGGACTCGGTGCCGATCTTCTTCTCTCCCGAGTGCGGGTGTACGCAGTAGCAGCTCGTGCCCGTGCACTGGGTGTGGTGGTAGTTGCCCAGCTCGTCACATTTAATCGAAACGCTAAGCCTGCCGTCCTTCTGAATTTCGTCCTCTTTGAGGGCGCACTTGCACATCATGTCGTCCGTCTCCCAGCGGCTCTTGGAGTAGCCCAGCTGCTTGCCGTACGGGTCCACGCAGTAGCACTCTGACCCGGAGCACTGTTTGGGCAGGAAGAGGCCCTCTGAGTCGCAGTGCGGCTCCTCGGCTCCGGGCGGCAGCGCTCCGTCACTCGTTCTCGAGTCGTCCATGGTGATTCTCTGTGCCCAGCACGGCCGGCGGGCACTGGCAGAGTCCAGCTGTGGGCAGGCCCGCACGACCGCCAGCAGCGGGACACACAGCAGAACCACGGCTCGCATGTTGACGCTGCAGGGGAGGCTCTCCGAATGGATACCTGCTGCACGCACAGAGCTCTTTTTATACCGACACTGCGGAGAAGGATGGCGATGCGAAGAATGTGTTGACTTCATTGTTCGGGCTGGAGTTAGATGTAAACATCTCATTTCCGCGATTGTGCGCAGCACTGTCAAGTTCAGTGGAAAAACGTAGGGCTCTAACCGGTTTTTGCTTATCAGTGATCAGGCGAAGAGATTTGTCGTCGCAGCGCATACTTATTATTGAGGAAGGGCCAGTTCCGTCGTCAAGGTCAACTGAACAGACATGTCGATAACTTTATCCTAGTCACTATTTACATGAGAATGGTTAATCCGCCTGAACGATGGTTTTAACCGAAACTATCATTTTATACAAAAGTGGGAATAAGTACGTCCACAGTCCACACGGCATTATTTTCGCACTAATCCATGGTATTTGCCTGCCGGGGCTTGGGTAGGGATAAGTCGATTTTAATTGCGGCTCACAAAATCGTCACGTACGTACCAGTGACGTACCCTTACCCATATCTTATATCTATTCATTTTAACCAAAGTATCTAGTATCTACATAGTCCTGAGATAACAAATTGTTTTCCAATCATAAAAAACTTAATGCACGATTTTGTAGGTATCATAGACATGCTAACCTCGAACACGGATGATGTTCTAATTAGTAAAGTAATCCTGGGCATTCTAACGTTATCTAATAAACGTACGAACTTAACCCTCGCATGTGTAGGGGGGGGGGTCGGATGGACCCCCCCATGGTTTTTCGCGAATAACTCGCGTAAAAAGCGGCCGATCGCGACGAAACTTTCAATGCCCTCGCATTGATCAATTTTACACC